TTAATACGCCTTCTTCATTCATTTTTGTAACAATCCAAGGTTTATTTTCAAACTTTTCTAGCTTTAGTTCTCCTTAAATCTCAACTACTCTATGAATGCATTATGGATTATTTCCATGTAATTGCTTTCTATATATTTAAAGAATTCTTCATCTCATTCTACGAATCTTCGAGTCCTAAACTCAGCTTTCCTTTACTGTTATTTCTTCTAAAATCTTCTAATAACTCTTTCAATATTTTTCTTCCCAAACTTTATTCTTTTTTTTTTTCTGTGTATCCATTTACAATCTCTATAGCTTATCCATTGAATATATTTTTCACTGATTCTCCTTATTTCAGACATATTTTTTTTTGAGAAGGCTTATGATCTGATACTAAGGTTGTATTTTGACCTTTTTGTAATTCTGTCCTCTGATGATTTCAGATACTATTATGTATAAAATATTCTAGCCAAAAACTTGTGATTTGTCTGTTATGGTATCAAAAACTGTGAGGGGATTTCGGAGCTTCTTATTTAGGTCCGCCCCAATATTACATAAGTTGTATTTTTAATTTTTCTAACAGTTAGAGATATTCTTATTTGCACTCAAATTTATGAATATCCCCTTCAGAAATTATTGGTTCTAAATTTTGATTCCCATTACAGAGGATATTTTGAATTCCATCCTTCTCTAACTCCTTTTCTTCCCTTACAAAGCCATCTATATCCCATTCCAAAACTTCCACCCTTATTTCAAGACTCCCATACATATGAGTTTGTAAACAGCCTTCTATTTACGTAAGTTCCAGCTACAAGTTAACAATCCAACATATCCTTCTGAGATACTAGCCTTGGGAGGGTTTTTCAAGCACATCTATATTTGAAATATTGAGCCTTCCTCGGTTAGCCCTAATTTTCGATCTCTCAGATCATTGTCATCTCTGTCCCTATGCTCTCGTAACCAATACCATCTAACCAGAGTTCATTGCAGAGTCCTAAAGCCAGGATTGAAGTTTAATGGTAAGTTATTTAAAACTAAGTAAGAAAATTGAAAATCGAAAAATTACTCAAGTTTTTGGCCACTTTTGAAAGCGCACAGATTTCTAAAACGAATAAGAAAAAATTAAAAAATTTGACTATGAACAAAGAAATAAAATGGAGTAATTAAAACGATTAGGATAAAAAAATTGTATAATTGCTGCTATGCTGGAAGTATCAACTCAAAAATCAGAACAAATATTATGATAAATTAACGAATTGCTACTAGCTAATAATCATTCTTGACAGAAAATGAAAAGAACTAGATTAAATAAAAAAAGTCAAATTCTACATTATTCAACTTCTTCTCCTCTAAATTCATTCTAAAAGTTATATCCTCACAATTCCCTTCAAAAAATCTTGCATGAATATAAAATTAGAGATAAAATCCATAATTGAAGCTTTTACAATTTTTTTAAAAAAAATGATAAAGGAAGAATTTAAATATTTTATCTCAATGTTTTGCGGGTACTAATAAAGTTCATATGTCTAGATGAGTGTTAAATTGAGAATATTTCAAATGTACCTTAAGTAGTATCTTTTAAGAAGTCGTTTCAATGAATCTCATATTTGTAAATACGTAATTGGAGCTATACGATAAAGCAGCTTCTTTTATTTTCTTAACTTTTTGGAGGGGACAGGTAAAGGATAAACTTTTTATTATTTTTCACATCGTAAAACTTAAAGGGAAAGAATATTACAATTCTAATTTATTTGTATATGCGAAGGATAATCATGCTGTGCATAAATCAGGATAAAGGAGATAAATCTTTACTCAAGTTCCCTGTTTATTCCCTCTTGCTTATAGACCAGAATTTAATGCAATGAGCATATGTTTGGCCGGTTAAGAAAATTAGTAGTTTTACAACCTTGCATTACTTCTCATTAAATTAATTACACCTAATTATCAGCCAGATTGATGATCATCTAATTGAAAAATAGTGTGACTGCCTACATAAACCGCTGTCTTTATGAAATCCATTATATAGAATGAATAAGAAAAATATATCAATAATAAAGTATTGATTTTATACATCAATTAATTTCATTAAATTCAAATATTTTTTTCGGTATGAAATAAATGTCTCCTCTCAACCTATTTAGAGTTAAGAAGAAACTAACATTAGTAAGTTAGAGTAATGTATGAAATCTTTAAAATTGAACTAATTGTATCACCCGCAATCAACTAATGACTAAACGCAAAATAAATAAGTTTTTTTTCTGGAATGCTCAAGTCAAATTTTAGAGGATTATTTCAAAGTCTTAGATTAAAATTATACAAGTTAAATTCATAAGTCATTAAAAAAAAAA